AGCATCTTCTTCTCTTTTCTTGTAGATCAGTGAAACTTCCCTGACCTCTGTTGGCATCTCAACATGTTTCATTCTTTAAGTGCTTTCCCTCCTGACCAATATTTACTTTCACCCTTCATCACATAAACACATACGTTCACAATTCAGAGAGTCTTGAGAACTCATGCAGAGTTGCATTTATACTACGGATATAACTTCCACGTCTAGTTTGATTTTCTTACTTTGATCCAGATTGTTTAAAGCTGAACTGAGACCCTGTATTAAAGATACAGCACAAAGGACTTTTTCTACAATGATGACTATGCAGACTATTTACCACCCCTGGACATCAGAGGCGCACTGTCATTATGTTGATGATTGAGGCTTTGGCAGGTCAGATGCTCCCAAACGTTGCCCTCGACCCTCAGATTGATCACCGTCTCTGAGCTAAGACGGTTCAGGGCCGCAGCAGAACCTGCTGTCTGCTGTTTGCTTAGACTAAAAAGCTGCTAAAAGCTGGGATCAATGGGGCAGGAGAATCAATCAGGATCATCCATGTTTATACGACTCAGGAGGATTACCTCACTGTTACTGGAATGGCCTCACAGGAATGACTGGCCATTAGAACAGTGGGACTAAACACTGCCCTGCTGTTTACATAAAAGGTAATGTGGGCTCGGCCCCGGCTCTGTGTGCCAGAGACAATTAGGCCCCTATACAGGCTGTAATCCACTGCCGGGCGCGAGGTAATCAAATTCAAACATAGCTGGGCCCCTGAAAACAATGAGGGACGGGATTACAATGAATGCATGTGAAGATAGAAAATTAATAAGCTTAACAGTGAACATGTGCTTCAGTGATACAGTATCACATGGATGCTTTTGGAGTGGCCCGTGTTTAGCATCTTTGACTGGTGTAGAAGTATATTTTGAGTCATTAAGTACCTGTACGTATTTTTAGAAGCAAATGTCAGTAAAGAGCAGAAATGAAGGTAAGATGTCATTAATCTGATAGCTGTAAGGTTGTCCTTTTCCGTAACCAAAACATATATTTCATATTTTTCCAGACTTTGGGTAAAAAACTGCAAAAACATTCCTGCTGCCAATAATGACCACGAAGACATCCCTTTCTAGTGTGACTCTACTGCAAGTGATGTCCTTGTGTAATCTAAGGCCAACAGAGTGGTAAATGAGTCCTAGACCTGGAAATAAGTTAGCATTTTTCACTCCCGGTTCCCTCGTCTCTTAGTCAATGGGTTTTTGGTTCGACGCCTGAAGTAAAGTCTGTGGTTAACAAATACCTCAGAGACTTTAATGTTTTGTTCTGTGACATAAAATACATAAATGTTGAAGCCTTTACTGTCTTAAAAAAGACAGTACCTAACAAGTGGCTAAATGAAACCACAGAACGTCATTGTGGTGGCGATGTTACGTTATGCGACCGAAGTGTAGTTTGATTATAGAAAAAAATTATGTTAGCTATTTACTTTTGGTGATTGCATTCAAAAACCATAAAAGTGGTGTTCATTTGTGAAGCTCATCCTGCTCAACAAAATGTCCAAGTATCGTAAACTTTTGTTGGTCACAGAGCAGAGTCCTGTACAGGTCCATTTTTGAAAACTCACGCCCGCCCATACCTGTAAAGCTCAGTACCTGAACCAACTAATTACCCGTCCTGCCCTGTTTGGTTTGGTTTAATCAAACTCAAGTTGTTTGCTCCCTCAGTGCGGTTCGTTTGTGCAGGTGTGAACACAGCAATCACACTCAGGTGCGCACCAAAACAACCAGACTGAGACCTTCTTGAAGAGGTGGTCTAAACAAACTCTGGTGCGGTTCGTTTGTGGTGAGAAGGTGTTCCGACCTGGATGTGAAGCAACTGCAGTCACATGACACATTGTTTGAGTTAAACATGAGCATGTTACAGTCCTGGAGGATTATTAATGTGCACCTCCTCCTGTACTGCCTTAATATGCACATTCAGCACATCCAATGCATCAAAACATTGTTTTCTAGTTGGAGCCGCGCCTCGTTTTCAAACTGTATGGTTTGACTAAAATGAACAATGACAGCAATATAGTCCACGATGAGCAGCGCTAAAATCAACCTGCGTAGTTGTCCCTCCATTGTGACATTAGAAAGTGTCACATTTATCTTGCAAGTGTACTCTTCTTCAACTTTTGCTTTACTTCCTGGATTTTTCCTTCATGGAAATTCTGACCTATCAAGAGCAGCTTTCTTTTTCAAGGCATTTGATCTGGTCCGCTTGTAAATGCTGCCGTGAGAACACGAACCAACTCTAGGCAATTATACAACTTTGTGTCAGAATCAGTCCCTGATTCAGACCAAAGCAAGACGACTAGGTCTGTAAGAACCCTCAGTCAAACCGCATCCACCTGCGTCCATTAATAAAAGTCCTGCGACCCAACCTGCACCCTGATTAAACACACAGGCTACAGTCACTCACATTAAGCTGAGTTCTCCATTCGTGAACTACAAATCCAGCAGAGGAGATGTCGCTTTCACTGGATGATGAAAACATTCAATCACTGTCAGGTTAGGAAACATGTTAGCATGCTCCTCCCACCACCTTAACACCTTAGAAGGATCCTCCTCGGGTGTCTTGAACTCCATCTAGGCTGCCACCTCATCCTCGGGCTGCAAAGTTTCATGGCTGGAGTCCTCCAAATCAGTGAGGACGGGGTCAAAGATTTAACTTTCATTGACTTTCAAAATAAGAGGAGTTTCAGCTAGATAATAGTGATTTAGATGTCAAAATATTACACATACACTGCACATCTTTTTACTTTGTTTTGTGCTAAAAAAAAATTGTTCTCACCCGCTGCCCACCCGCCTGTTGTTCAATTTAACCATGCCTGCACCCGTTAATTTATACAGATATATATTTTTACCCATTACACTGCTTTTTGCAGGTTACTCATGGTGCAGGACTCACAGAGCTTATTTTCTGCAGTAATCCAAAATCTAATGGAAAAATACCATAGGCTTGTTTTTCAAGGAAACCACACTGAGGCTAACTTGCAGGTTGGACGACAGATAAACATCATCCCTTCAGCTCTCTGTTTGAAGTTTCAGCAGCATGTGTAAGACACATTAAGAGTGTGTTTTCCAGAGTTAGTCGTTGCATTGAAACACTTCCTGCTCACATTAAGGGTTCAGGATGCTTGTCACAAAATTTGTTTGTTCAATGTGTTGGATCACGTCTAAAGGGAAAAGAGTTTATACCTGTTGCAAACGGCCTCAGTCAAGGCTGGGGTGGAAAAAAGTTGTTATAAAGTCGGGTGACAAGTGATGAATTATTCAGATAGGGAAGAGAGGACATACTTTCAGTCTCTGTCCCAAGAAATTCAAATTGTTTTTCACTCATGAAAAGAGACGTGAAGAAAAGCGAGCCAGCCTGCCTCACCCTGACACACCTGAATGGAATTCAGCTATTATAATTTTATTATTTACACCTGTGCTTTTCCTTCTGCAAGTTGTCAGACTTTTTTTTTTTTTAAATTTTTTGCTCAGATAAAATGCTGAACTTTAGGGCATCAAAACATTCTCGTTTAAATTGTTTCTCTGCAGGTTTTGGTTTGATACTGCGTCAACTGGCAGAACAAAGATCAGAAACAGACGCTGACTGCATGATTTGTGTTTTTTGCCAAATTCAGAGCAACAGAAAATGAATCAGCAGTTTGGATGTCTGTGTTTTGCTCAAAGACACATAGAGAAGAAACGAACCTGTGACCTTTGTCACCTATTCAGATTTATTATGTTTTTTTAACCAAATGTCTCGTTAATTCTTATTTCTCAGCTGGTGTGGGAGAATTTGTACCAGAATATCTTTTCATCACAGACAATTTCCATATGTGTGTGATTGTTTGGTGTCATAACCAAGCCAGAGCTGATACTTTACATACATTATATAACACAATAATATTGAATATTAACCTGTTTAACGACTTAAATCAGAGGAGAGGATGTAATGATTTTATACTGCAACTAATCAGTTTAAATTAATGTTTGTGTTACTTGTGGGTGAAATTCTTATCTGGGGCACTCAGTGTTTTACTCAAGGACACTTTCACGGGTCACATGACTGTTGCTGGGACACCAACTGCAAAAGCTGCCGCCCTAAATACTTATTAAGATGGTTTTGAGAGGGCATCAGGTAGCAGGAGATTTAATTTTATGGGAGGACAGAAAATTAAAAAATATGATATAAATATGACAAATAAAAATGCATTGAAAAAAAGAAGAATTTTGTATTTTTAGTAAGTGCACAGTATGTTTTTCTGCTTTCAATTTTTGCAAGAATCCACAATCTGATGATCACAGTGTCTCCTCTGCCACTGCTCCCTGCTCTGAGCACATGAGGCAGCCTGACAGACGCTTCTCCTGGAAGCATGTGGACGTATCAGATGATAAGGTGGACTAAAGCCTATAAATACGGCTGCCTGAGTCTCCCGGTGAGCCAGTGTTTAAACTCTGCTGCACCACCTGATGATCTCTGCTGTCTGAACCCCAGCGTCCTTCCCTCTGCGTTAACGGGTCGTTATTTAGATTCAACTCTTCTCATATGGAGAGAAGCGCCGCCAGAAGAGAGACATTTTCACGTCTTTTAGTGTGTGAGTTAATCGCGTCCTCGATGTGTTGAAACGATGTCTCCCTGTGCGTAAAATGCCGCGCTTAGTGCGTCCTGGCGCGGACGATTCCTTGGAAAATGTGCGGTGTCCGTCGCGCTTCCTTCACGCCCCGCTGCTGTGGATCGGTGCTGAGCAGGAGTGGCATCTCGGCGACAAAATCTGGATGAAAGAGCGTCCTTTAGAGCTGAGGCATGCATCGAGTAGTGAGATCATTGGCGTTATAAATATCTCCGTGCCAGCAGAACTACTCCAGCTACTGCAGCCGGGGTAATGCCCAGGAGCGCTGCATGCGTGTGTGCGCGCGGTTCGTGGTGCCCAGACCTCAGGAGCGACACCAAAATGCTGGAAGTGGCCTAGCGAGTGTCTCCTTGTTGGAAGAATGAATGTTCCTCTTTACCTTCTGACCGTCGCTCACTTGATTTGCGCCGCCGCCGGAGCAGAGCACGTCTCTTTGGAGCGCCAACTTCTGGAGGAGGGGATCCGTTCGGGACGCAGGACTTGCAGGCTCTACTGTAGGGTTGGCATCGGCTTCCATCTCCAGATTCATCCCGACGGCAGAGTCAACGGCAGCCATGAGCCCAACCAGCTGAGTAAGTCATTCACTCCGGTTTCACGGTGCACAGAGAAGCCCAACTACTAAATTATAAACGTGTGACGCGCACATGAATCCTGCGCGTCCCGCTGAGAATGCGCACTTGGATCTACATTCCTGCATTCGCTCTAATTGATCCCCTTGTGTTTGCAGTCGTGTCTATTTTAGATGCCACCCCAGGAAGTTCTAACAATAATGATTTACACAGGAAGAGTGTAAGGACCGCGCACCTAAACTTAGGCTGCCTGACCCTGTGAAATATCTGAGCAGCGGGCACCTGCTTGACAAGCCTTGTTTGTGTCTCTCCGGGATGTTGGCAGGTAGACTATTTGTGGCAGTAACAGGTGCAGCAGAGAGACACCAGGATGTGTTGGATTGCCAGTCAGCACGATTGTCATCACAACAACGGTACTCCTTACACTGCAAAAAATATCCACCTTAAAATCAGACTATTATTAGAAAAAGATGTATTGCTAAGTTTTCACTTAGAAGGAATTCGCTTTGGTTTTTGGTGCAAACATTAAACATGCAATAAGAGGAATAAAAATAAGCAAAGTACTGCAAGACTCAACTTAAATATAGAATAGAAAATTGACAAAAAAAGGCGCTTTTAAAAACTATAAAACAAATATGTACAATAAAGATTGTCTGTTATGGAAACCGACTGTTTTCCTTCAACTCTAGTAAAAATATATTTGTTTTGGATGCAAATTCAACAATTTTACTTTTATAGGTCTCAAATAAAGAAATAAAGTGCAACACACAACTGACTTAAAAATGGCATAAAGTTATTTTGCAATCCAGATGGCTGATATAAGCATGTTCAGAGAAAAATAGTCTGTTGACATATGTTATAAACCAAAACTACAAACTTATTGTCTCATAAAGAACAGCTATATAATCTGAATAAAAGACAGAGATCCCTGTGTGCACAGTTGCACTCAGGAACGTCACCATTAGTCTCAGAGACTGGAAGGTTTAACACCGCCCCAGAGGAGGACAGGATTTGGTTGTTGTGGTATTTAGGTGAAGCTGAGAATGAGTTTTACTGTCCTTTATATGACGACATAAGGAATTTAATTTTCAGTAAGATGACCTCCATCGATGTTGATTTTTTTTGGTTGGATGATCATGAAAAATGTGAGTTTTGTTTCAGAAAGTGAACTTTGTTTGTGGCTGCGTTTCTTTGCCAGGTCTGAGATTGAAGGCAGAGGATTTTGGGTAGTGAAATAACATGTACTTTTGATACTTACTGCAGTGTCATTGTAGTTGTGTCTTGTAAAGCCATGAGGGTTAGGCACATGTAAGTGTGCATGACACAAAATAAAAAAGCAATCGAAGTGCCCAGAGTGGTTTGAAGTATTTCTCCAGGGTCCTGTAATTTAATCAGCGTGGTTTAAAAACATATCCCGTATATTGGCCCGCATATATCAGAGGATTCATCAGTCTACCTGTAGTAAAAAGTGCCGAAATTTCAAATGTAGCTTGAGAATAAGACAGAGACTGAAACATGTCAGTATGTTACACCGTCAGAATCCATGACCTAACCTATAACCCTCAACCCTAACCACTCAACAACTCACAAAACTCAACGATTTCTTCATAGACTCTGGTTCTGGGTCACAGATTCTGATGTTTTGAGAGAGTGACGATGTCTTAAAATATCAGAGATGACTAATATCAACATTATCTAAGATGTTTAAATTGAAAATGATTTCCCTCCATTTGAAAACATCTCTGAATTTATACAGAAAATAAGTTCAACACTTAAACTCAGAAAGATATAAACAGTGACGTAACAGTTTTCAGCTGCATCCAGACCAAGACAAATTATGACTATCAGCATGACTGGAAACATTTATTTAAAACTTTGAATACATTGTTAAATACAGCAGTTTTTCATTCCAAATCTTTCAGCGTCTTGTTTGTGAATCTTCGTCCTGTCTCTTCTCGGCCAGAAGACAAAAGTCATAAATCAGATTTTCAGCTTTTACTGCCCCATCAGATCCCTCATCGCTGCTCCGCTGACGAAACAGCCGAAACTCACCGTGAAAGTGCACTTGTGCCTCCATTTCATGGTCCCCTTTAGAAGAGTTGTCAGGTTACATGGATTTCAACACGACAGCCATGTGGTTTTGAATCCTGCATGACAGCGCTGGAGACGAGCAGGAGACTGGCCGTCTTGGATTTGTAATATGAAGATTCTCTTACCATCACACTGCATTACGTTTCATATCACTGCCTCACAGAATACCTCGGACAGTACTTGATACACAGTTGAGTCACCGCAGAGACAATATTCATCTGGGATAACACTTAAGTGTCCTTTTATTTTGACTTGTCATTCACTCTGGGGTACTTAGCTGACCTTGGTAGATTGATATAATGGTTTTACAACATTGTGTCAGTAGATCTCTGTCCATCATGATGAGTTTCCCCTTTTCACCAGGGTTGTTATCCTGATTTTCATCAGTCTGGGTTTCAGTTTAGAGTTTTAGTGTCGCACAAAGGCCCAAAAGTTTTAGAAGAACCTACTGTACATTGGCACGACCCACTGTTTTGCATTTCCTGGCACCCGAACTCACCCTACAGTCAGTGTGCCAAGAGGTTAGAGCAGAAAAAAATACATACTTGGATCATATTTTCTTTATCATAAAAGACAGAGTGACATATTTATTCTGATTCTTCTCATACAGTATCCACTATACTATAAATCATGATTGAAGAGGACCTATCAGCTTCATATTTGTTCACACTTTATTTATTGTCTGTGCTGGAACCAACACATTTTCACTCTGACCTTGTCACATATCAATGCTTGGGCGTCAACTTCTCACATCGCTATGACGTGCAGGGTGCCCTGGAGTGCGTTGAATGCAACTCGGTCTCACTCCGACGTCGTGGAAATCCAATGCTTGGGCAGTGACTTCCTGCGTCAGACACCAATGAAAAAGCAGTCCATTAACGTTGGCATGATATGCAGCTGGTTGCCGTTATAGTTAATGGCACTCAGTGGTGCCAGGGGGAAACACGGCAGTCCAAGTAGGGCTGTGGGAAGGGTGGTGGATGGGTCAAACAAACACGGACTTTCACCTGAGAGAGTCTTTGCGTCCTGTGAGATTATAAAGCCAAACCCTGTTCTTTTTTCCTAAACCCAACCACATGTGTTTGTTGCTGAAGGCAAAAAAACTTAAATTCCTGGTGTTTCACAGATGTAGTGCTTTTATTTTGAAAGGGACTGTATGCAAACTGTACATTTCCTGTGAAAGCAGAGGTATACTTTGAGAGAAGACAATGCATGTAACAGTCAGAACTTGACACGGCGTCCCAGAACGTCAACAACCAACACACCCAGAATACCTTGCATGCTGTACCTCGATGTGGAAAGTCTATGAACAAACGTCGCTATGTGACGAGGTCGGAGTGAGAATATGTTTTTTTTTTTTTTTAAGATATTTTTTAGCCTTTATTTGACAGGACAGACAAGTGTGAAAGGGGGAGAGAGAGGGAGTGACATGCAGCAAAGGGCCACAGGCTGGAGTCGAACCCGGGCCGCTGCAGTAACAGCCTTGTACATGGGGCGCCTGCTCTACCACTAAGCCACCGACGCCCCAAGAGTGAGAATATGTTGTTGATAGTTGACATTCTGGGACGCCATCCCAACATGTATTGTGTGTTTTAAAACACACTCCAGTTTTCACAGGAAATGTACAGTTTGCATACAGGCTCTTTCAAAATAAAAAAACGCACTATGTCAGTAACACACCACAAAGTTTTTTTTTCTTCTACTACAAATGCATGTGGTTACGTTTAGCCTGATTAGGTTTAGGCAACAAAAGCACATGGTTGGGATTTTAAAAAAAAGAACAAGGTTTGGCTTTATAATCATACGTGACGTGAACAATGGCCTCCCAGATGACAGTCGATGGTTGTTGGACCCACCCACTCCTGTGGAGCGTTGGCTTCATTTTTTAGACTTTGAAGTTGCCGCTCGCTCAGCTCTCATTACAGCTGCAGTGTTCTGTTGCACTTGCATGACTTTGATTAGTTTGTGTCGTAGGGGTGATGAAACATGACGGCCAAAAACAATGATTTAATTAAAATTTAACACAGTTGCAAACTGCCATGTGCAACTTCTTCACACTGGAGGATGTTGCTGTGAGCGTGCAGCCAAAAAGGCCATGAAAGCAAAACTCATCCTTGTTTGTTCCTTTTGGATCGCTGCTACTATGCTCACCCTCTTTTTTAAAACTGAAATTCACTCTGACTGCTAAAGAAAGTTGACAAAGACACAAATTGCTCATTGCCCAATTCGAACGCCAGTTATCTAACTACTAAGATCAAGCAGAGTGCAGCCGACCTGGATGACTGAGCCGACAGGACAGCAGAGCAGATCGTGTCCACTTGAGTGCGGAGCAGCGATGAGATGCAGAAAATGACAAGGAGAGTAAAAATACACTCGTCGTCCATCAATCATCAGAGCATGTTGTTTGTCCTCCCAGGTGTCCTGGAGCTCTTCGCGGTTTCTCAGGGGGTCATCGGCATCAAAGGGGTCTACAGTAACAGATTCCTGGCCATGAATAAAAGAGGACGGCTCTACGCCACTGTAAGTATCCACACGCTTCACAAACTGCTTTTGTTCGTCACCCTGAACTCTTAAACTTAGCCTCAGTGCACAAATACCACCGACTGTGCAGGGTTACTACGTGTTATTTTTACTTAACAAGTGATGATTGAAATGTTGTTGTCCAATCATACAGCTGGAATGGCTCTTCAAATGTTTACTTGACCATGAGGGTAAAAGCGATAACTTCATGCTAATGTTTAATTTAGTTAATGCTGAAGATTCATTTAAAACTGCACTAGTTGATTGTTTGGCCAAGACAGACACACATCCTGACCTATACCATGTTACTAAGTTAGCAAACAGCTGCCTATTTACACATCTGGCAGACACAACACAATATTATCATCCCGCTGGTTTGTGTAACTTCAAGACTCACTCTCCAGTTTGGTCTCCACTAACTCCTGCGGAAGAGATTTGTCTCTTTAGCTGCCAAATGTTCCACCATGTTCACTCGCCAGCGGTGGTGGAAAGTAACTAAGTACTGAACCCAAGTACTGTACTTGTTACAATTTTGAAGCACTTGTACATTCCTTGAATATTCTGCCATTTTATATTTCTACTTTACTACAACTCAGAGCCAACTATTGCACTTTTTACGTACTACATTTAACTGATAATGTATTTTGCAAATATACATAAAAATATAATCAGTAAATAAAGTATTCTGGATTATTTTAGGGCTATTTTAAGTAAGATAATGTTTGACTTTATTGATTCCTAGAGGGATGTTCATAATTAATTGAAATGAAAATCCACTTTTATCAGCTGCAACATTAAACAGTCCCTCCAGAAAAACGCGATTATGCGATCGCATAATTCAACGCATAATCAGCCAAAGTCCACATATTTTTTCATAGATGCTGCACTTTTGCCGCATAAATCGCTGATTTCCATGCAAAATGCACAAAATATGCAGGGCTTGCATGATTTCATAATTCCCGCATTTTCGTTGCAAAAAAGTCACATGTGTGCAGGAAGCACACATTTTATTTTTTCACATTTTTTAAGAAAATGTGTCGCATAATCAAGGATTTTTGCCCGCAACAATCACAAAAAAACTCACTCACTCGCATTTTTCTGGAAGGACTGATTAAAGTGATGACTGCATTAATGCATCAATTATTTTGATCCAATAATATGATAAACATTATTCTGAAATTTGCCATTCTGCATATTGACATGTTTATACTTTTACTTTTGGCACTTTGATTACACTTTTGCAGTTTTACTCAGCTCGTTCTTGTTTCCAGCGTGTCAAATACCAACACCATGTCGTGCCCCTCAGTGTGTGATTATAATGCCAAAGACACCCTTTAGAGTCTTTGTAAGATGCACCAGGTTTCAGCTAACTCCTGTGTAACAGCAACACTTGATGCTCAGAGCAACTGATGTAGTATAAAGAGTCAGAAAGTCTGCATAGGTCGTGAGGGAGAAGAGGCGGAGAGGTCAAACAAAACGAGACTTTCCCATTTGACACCAAAAGTCACCAAACAACAAATGCATTTTTTTTAACATGATCTTTTTTCTTGAACCCAAATGTGACAGTTTCACAACAATAATCACGTGTTACAGTTTGTTCCAGTGGTGCATCACATAGATATGCTAAAAGGGTGCTGTTTCACTATCAGATGCAGAGGGGCTGTCAAAGCAAAGGTATCTGATAACATGGGAATGAGAAAGCATTGTTTTACTTCACTTAAGTATAAGAGTTGAGTACTTCTTCACCTACTGCCTCCAAGTCGCTAACTTTGTCTGCTGTACTAAGCAGGTAGTGTACAGTGTATTTATCAGAGATATTTTTGCTGAGAAAAGCCAACTGTTACCGAAAACTGAGTGGATGAGAGGCTAAAAAGCTATATGAAGCTAAAATAAAAAATATTCATTATAAGAGCACTCACATCTGTGAACTATCTTTTTCTGAATGAACGTACTAATGTTGTTAACGGCTGACTCTCTTGTGCATATGGAAAGTGTCAGAGGAAGTTGTGAGAAGGATGAAAAAATCTTGAGAGAGTTCAAACCATGTATCAGTTTTAAAAAGTTACAGAAATTGTTGGACGCAGCTCCTCAACAAGCAAATATTGTTTGAAGCATCCTGACGACATCTCTGTGCTTCCCACTGCATCTCATGGTCAGATTATTTTGTTGTGCTGTTTCCAGAGATCAAGGATGAATTTTTGCTGTTTACTTCTGATTGTGATGAAGCATTTCTTGTGTTCTGAGCACACCTCCTGCCAGTGTCCATACCTGGCACCAGAATGTAATTTGGCCAAACACTGTGAATCTGCATCTCATTTGCAGCTGAGATGTTGCTCCTCTCTTTGTTGCAGCCCAACATCTTCTGGACATATGAAACGGATGTATTTCTCATCAGACCCTGCCTAGTGCAGCTATATTTGTCATATTTATTAGTTTGTGCAGCTTTGCATCTGTGCTGCATGACAAAATCATGTCATAGCATACTGCTGTAATCTTTAGCCACAGTTTCGAAGACTTTCAAATCCCCCCAAACACACAGTAAGCCCAAATCTGCCCACAGCAGCTTGGCCTCAGTGCCGTAAGCAGGCCGGCCGGCCAGCCAGCACTGCCGGCCGCACTGACGAGTCATCTGTGGGAGCGTTGGCAGGCGTATAGATAGAAGCAGCTCCCTATTAGCATGTGTTAATGGGAAGAGCAGATTAAGTCCTGTCTGGGACAGCTGATAATATACAGAGGAGTGAGCCACAAAGTGAAGATCAATATGTTGAGTAAACAATCAGCCAGGCGAGCAACAATCAGAGAGCGGAGAGTCTGTGAGCTGCGGCGGGTGTGCATGCTGAGCAACTGCGATTTATGCCCCCTCAGCTCCTGGTATTGTTTCATGAAACCCTGTCAGTGGGGAGTGATGTGGTGTCTTTCCTCAAAGTGCATTCTCAGTCACGGCTTTCTAGAAATGTACTAATGCGACTGTGAGCTGTCCACCAGCAGACACATATTCAGCTGTCATTCCAGCTTATATAGAGAGAAAATTACAAACTTTGTCGAGGTCAAAGCACATCCCAAACACGATTTAAATATAAACCCAAACTGGGCCGACGTGGATGATAGGAGGAAATAATGGGACAAAGCACAACAGCACACTGCGGATCATCAAACTGAAACCTGATCATCATTTCAGTTCTGCTGGATGTTTGTCATGCACAGCCACAGTCTGACTCAGGAGGATTTCCTTGTGGTCTTTTTTGTGGTCCAACATGTCTGCAGTCTGGTCTCATCTGCCGCTTCATTTCATGTCCAAACTGTCCAAATGTCAGCAATAAAAATTCAGTTTTTCACATCCACTCCTTCTGCCCCAGCTCAAAGGTTGATCATCTGTTGTTTATGGCTGGTTTTGTTGTGTCTGCATGACATCATCAGGCTGAGGTTGATCCTGTCCAGCATGAAGAGACAGGAGGGATCCAGGAAGTCCCTCAAGGAAAAACAATACACTTATATTAGCTTATATTAATGCACTGTTTGTATGTTTTCCTACTAAAATAATGCACTATAATTTGTACATATCCAGCGTATTCATGAGCCAGTATTCATGCATAATCTACATGTTTTGGAAGGCAGCGATCATGTGACCAATACGCTGACGGAAGTAGATAAGGAAGCAGTCCCGAGTGGTCGAGGAAGGAGGCAGATTGGGGTGATGGGTGGGTAATAAAACATAGGACTTTCCCCAGGAGACCGGTGTTCAGAACCATATGAACTTTGAGTCATTTTTAGGTACGTCCTCAACATGGCCTCTAGTTTCCCGGCGCAGCGCAGGGTGGTGAACCCCGCGCAGAGCTAGTTTCGAACAGCGCAACCCGAGGCGCGCTCAGTTTGGTAGTTTGGCAGACCGAGGTGCGCTGAGATGGGTGTGGCGGTGCAGCAGGGGGGAGGTGTCGACAGATCCAGCTTGGCACAGTGACAGTTTAGTGCCAAAAGGCTTCGCCGAAGGTGCGCTAAAAGCTCACCAGCTGAAACCAGGTCTACTGTCAGCGCAGGCGGAGCGCAGCAGGTGTATGCAGTGTAAGTTTGGCTGACGGGTGGACAGTGCTCACACGTCACCAAACCTCACAGGCGGGTTTCCAGAATATCAGGCACATTAACGATGCAATAAATACCCACAACAAACACTATTCAATGCAACTATCTGCAATCAGCACATAAATGTATCTCTGTATCGACTGTCCCGTCACATCTGATGTCAGATCAAAGGGGATTGGTACCGTTTGGCACGTTTGGCACGCGTAATGGAAACCCAACCTGATTTGATTAACACAGCTGCAAACTAATGAGTTCACATCCCTCTCAGCCAACCACAAACAGCCACAGCATCAGATAGGGAGTATATATTCAGCATCTGTCATCTTAGAAAAGTCAAAAGAAAAGAAACAGAGTGAGACTGCGAGAGAGAAAGAGAGAGAGCGCGCGCGAGAGAGAAACGCAACATTGATTTACAATTGTGGTGACCTCCTCCCAGGCTACCTTTGCATCATCAGCCCGTGGAGGTCTGCTCGCAGTTCCGTATATTCGGACACTGTGAGCTTGGACCTCCCGGACCAAAACATCAGTTTCCTCCTGGGAGAAGTTTGGCCGTCTGACGCTGCTGCTCTCTTCTGCCATGACGAATTAAGTCAACTCTCATTACGCCTTTGCGCGGCGCATTTAAGGGAAAGTAGCTGAGGCCTTTTTTTTTGTCGAAATTCACCATAACTTGATGCAGGAAAAAAAAAGAATGCATAAAAATTCACCAGGATGCAGGAAATTAGGTGTTTCATGTTCAAACTGCCTGAGGAATGACCCCAAGCAGTATAATCCAGGTATTATTTGTCCAGTCATATGATCAGTACTTCCCAAACACATTCATTTTCGCTAAAACTGTAATGTTTATTACAATTTTGTGCAGGCGCACTGCTCGTGTGTGACTCTGTTTATGCAAAAATGTATATTATTGTTCAGTTTTAGCA